GTCTGTATCCCCCGCCCCCCGCCCCGCAGCCTCGGCCTTCACCCAGCAAACCCTTCGCGCCTGGCAGCCGATCCTCACCCCGAAGACCGTCCTGCCGGCCTTCTTCCTGATCGGCATCATCTTCATCCCGATCGGCATCGCCCTCCTGTCGGCCTCCAACTCCGTGCGCCCTCCTCCTTTGGCTGGCCTGCCCCGCCTCCTCCCCCGGGCTGCTGACCCCCCCCTTTGACCCCGCCGCCGCCCCTCCCTGCGGCTTTCCTCTCTCTCTCCCCCCCCCCCCAGGTGTATGAGAATATCATCGACTACACCAACTGCGACCAGCGCGGTCCCAACTACGAGAACAGTGGCTCCTACCCGGACATGAAGTATGATGTTGCGAACAACAAGTGCTCGGTCCTGTTCGAGGTCGAGAAGGATCTCACCGGGCCGGTTTACCTGTACTACCGCCTCAGCAAGTGCGTGCCATGCCCCGCATGGGCTGCCCTGTCCCCCCCCCTCCCCCCTCCCCCCTCCTCGTCTCTTTCGTGCAAACTTCCCGCCTCCTCCTCCCTCTCACACACAGGCGCATGGGTCTTCCCCCCCCCGCCTCCCCTCTCGCTCCTCCTCGCCTCCCTGCCCCCTTCGCTCCTCTTCAGCTTCTACCAGAACCACCGGCGCTACGTCAAGTCCTTCGACACGCGCCAGCTCCTCGGCAAGGCCATCGATGCCAACTCCCTGGTGTCTGACTGCGACCCCCTGCGCACCGGCGTCCGGGACTCCGACCAGGCCGTCCTGCCGATCTACCCCTGCGGCCTGATCGCCAACTCCTTCTTCAATGGTCCGTCCTGGGGGCTTCTCTCCCCTCACATGGCCCTCCCCCTCCTGCCCCCTCTGTGCCTCCCTGTGCCCCTTACCGTGCTCCCCACCCCGCATCCATGCGCTAACACACACACACACACACACACACACACACACACACACATTCTCTCTCTGCCTCTCCTGTAGACACCTTCTCTTCCCTTAGCTCCACCAGCCCGACCGCCCCCCTGACGTACCCCTGGTCCGACAAGGGCATCGCCTGGCCTTCGGATTTGAACAAGTTCCGCCCCACCGAGTATGGCCCCAATGACGTCCTCCCTCCCCCGAACTGGTCCAAGTATGCCGGGTGCGTTGCTCCCCTCCTGCCGGTATCCCCGCGCGCGCCTCCCTCTCTGACAGTCATTCGCCCGGCCTCTTCACGCACACGCACACCCGCCCACAGCGGCTACACCCAAATCCCCGCCCTCTGGGAGGACGAGCGCTTCCTCGTGTGGATGCGCACCGCCGGCCTGCCCACCTTCCGCAAGCTCTGGGGCCGCTCCGATGACGACCTGCCGGCCGGTGTCTACGAGATGGTCATCGAGGACTTCTACCCGGTCCGGTCCTTCAACGGCACCAAGTCCGTCGTCATCAGCACCACCTCCTGGATCGGCGGCCGCAACCCCTTCCTCGGCATCGCCTACCTGGCCGTCGGGTCCATCTGCATCCTGGTCGGCATCATCTTCCTCATCCGCCATGTCATCCGCCCCCGGGCGCTCGGCGACACCGCGCACCTTTCCTGGAACAAGAACAAGTGATCGCCCATGTGCGGCCCCCCCCCCCCTGGCATGCGCATCCACCCCTTCGTCTTTGCGCCCGGCGCACCCCCTCCCTCGGCCCAGCGCCTCGCGCCCTCTCTCCCTCTCCCTCTCTCTCTCTCTCTCTCTCTCTCTCTCTCTCTCTGCACCCGAGAGGTGCCCTGTCTTCCTGTCCCCCCCCCCCTTCTTCCCGCCTGTCATCCTCTCTTGTACATTGATAAAAAATTCAAACTCCCACGCACCCCTGTGTTCCTCTTCTCTTCTCCCTTTCCCCTCCCCAGCCACGCTTTGTGGGGTTGCCTCCCCTTCCTCCTCCTCCTTCTCCTCCTCCTCTTCTTCTTCTTCTTCTTCTTCGCCGCGCACACCCGGGTGGAGCGGGGGGCACCCTCGGGCACGGAGAGGGCCCGCCATGTGCAAAGCCCCGGGACAAAAGCCGACTTAATCGAGCTTCCACCGCCCTTCTGGTATACCAGAAGACATCACGCGATCGACCCCCGGTCCCGGCCCTCACCCACAAGCGACCGTGTCAGTTCCGCTTGCCCATGCACCTGGGGCCGATCGGCGTGGGAGGATGGCGGGGGCCAGGTTGATGGTCCCCCCCCCCCGCCCGCCCCCTGGCCCGCCGGCCTGCCTGCACCCGCTCTGCCTTTTGCCCGCTCGCGGGAGTGCAACTCTTAACCTGTGCGCCCGCTGGGGAGGGCCCGTCAGATGGCCTGCGCCCCCTGCATCAGGGCAGATGGCAGCGGCGTGGGAGCGCGCAGACGGCGTCCGGCCTCCGCGGCGCACCTCCCTCGGGACCGGGCCCGATGAGCCGGCCCCACTGGCAGGGGCTGCTGCGCCGGCCCCGCATGGGCAGTGGGCGAAAAGGGGCCCCGGCGCCCGAGGGGACCGCCGTGCGGCCAAAGGTGCAACCGCTCCCTCCCCTGTCCCTGTCCGCCCAGATTGCTTGGATTGCTGCCTCCTTCTCTTCCCCACGCGTGCCTCTCGTCCCCCTCCGCCCCTTCCCCTCTCTCTCTCTCTCTCTCTCTCTCTCTCTCTCTCTCTCGCGCCAAACCCGGGTCTGTGGAATTCGGCCGCGCGTCTGCCGCCGCCGCCGCCGCCGTCGCTCGCCGCCCCCTCCACACCCCGGCCCCCTCCACCTGACGGAATATGGTTTCAGCGGATCCCTTCCCCGCCGGGCAGACGGGGCTCTACTGCATCGGGGTCCCCTTCCGGGGCGAGTGCTCCGAGCTCGGCCATCCGGACGCCCTCGGCGCGCTGGGCCCGACTGCCGACGGGGCCTCCGCAGGCCCGGGCACCAGCCCCCCGCCCTCCCGGCCGCCGGCAGGGCCCCTCTCCCAGCCGCTGGACGGGCCGAATGAGGACTCGGTCACCAGCCTCGGCTGGCAGCTGCCGGCCACCGGCGGCGCGGCCCCAGGCATGTGGTCGCCGCCTCGCGTGGCGCCCCTCCCCGCCCGCCTCCCATGCCGGTCGCCACGTTCCCCCTGCTAACACCTGCAGTCATCGTGTCTCCCCCCCCCCCCGCCCTCCGCCGCTTTCGCCACCGTCGCAGGCGCATGTGCCTTCGGCTCGGTGCACGGCGTGGTGGCCTATGGTGCCGGGCCGGATGTCATCCTGCACCCGCTGCTGGGCTCGGTGTGTGCCCTGCACCAGGGGTACTACACGCGAGCGGTGTGCCGCCACGCCGGGGACGTCCGCCGGCTGGATGTCCTGGAGGTCGGCCCGCATGACGCCCTCCTGGGGGGCTCGCTCATTGCCGTGGCCTCGGTCGACAGCCTGGGCCAGGCCGCGGTGACCCTGTGCCGGCGCCGGCGCTTCGACCCGGTCGACTCGGCCTGCCTGATGTTCACCACCCGGCCGGAGGAGGACCCCGGGCCCGGGGCCGGGCCCGACCCGGCCGGCCTGCGCGTCGAGCCCCACAGCAGCCGGCTGCTGAAGGTGGGGTCGCGCCGCCGGGGGGCCTCCTCGGCCGGGTCCTCGGCCGAGGCCCTGAGCCGGGCCCCCTCGGGCGACGTGCTGGCCCCTGTGGCCGGCTCCGCCCTCGACGAGACGCCCTTCTTCTCGCCGCTCAATCAGCCCGCGCCTGGGGGTACGCACGGGGGGCGGCTGTGCCCGGCCGGCCGGGGGGGG